GGCGTCCCGCTGCCCCAGGCCGCTGCGGACCGAGCCGGAGCACGGTCTCCCGGGGACCACCATCTTACTCCGGGCTCACCTCGCTGTAGAAGGTCATAAACGCCTCCTCCGTGCTGCCTCCTCCGCCCGAAACCCCGCTCTCTCCCGAAGCCGCCATTTTCCCGGCCAGCCGGCACGTGACCGTTCTGCGCAGGCGCAACCTCACGTGACCCTTCCAAGACCGCCTTCCTGGACCGTCGCCGCCGCCAAGCCGCACTTAAAGGGACCGAGGCGGGGGATTCTCTGTGGAGCCCTGGCTGTGCTGGAACTCCCTTTGTAAACCAGGCTGGCCTCGAACTCTGAGATCCTCCCGCCTCTGCCTCCTGAATTCTGGTGTTAAAGGTGTAAATGGACTTTTTTTTTTTTTTTAATTAAAAAGTAGGATGGTCCCTCGAGATGGCTCAGCTGCTCAAGGCTCTGGTTTCCAAGCCTGAAGACCCCGGGACCCACACAGTGGAAAGAAAAAAAACAAAACAAAACACTCCCAAAAGTTGCCTTCTGACTTCACACGTAAGTCATAACCAGCCCATGCAAGCACACCACACACTTTTGTTGTTGTTTCTGTTTTTTGGGCAGGGTCTCTCTACCTAGCCCAGGCTCCTGGAACTCACTTTTTAGACTAGGCGGGCCTTGAACTCATAAAGATCTGCCTACCTCTGCCTCCAGAGTGCTAGGAGGCATGTGCCACCATGCCTAGCCACATAAAAAAGTTTAATTAAAAAAATTATTCTTAGCCAGGCGTTGGTGGCGCAAGCTTTTAATCCCAGCACTCGAGAGGCAGAGGCAGGAGGATCTTTGGGAGTTCGAAGCCAGCCTGGTCTCCAGAGCTAGTTCCAGGATAGGCTCCAAAGCTACACAGAGAAACCCTGTCTCGAAACACCCCCCCCCCAAAAAAAAGTTATTCTTGCGGGGCGGTGGTGCACGCCCTTAATACCAGCACTGGGAAAGCAGGGCAGATGAATCTCTGAGTTTGAGGATAGGCTGGTCTACATACAGAATGAGTTCCAGGACTGCCAAGGCTACACAGAGAAACTCTGTCTCAAACAAACAAATAAATAAATACAATTATTCTTTTTAAAAGCACTTTGGGCCTGGTCTACAGAGTGAGCTCCAGGACAGACAGGACTGTTTCACAGAGAAACCCTGTCTCGAAAAAATGAAACAAAACAAAAAAGCACACTTGGTACTCACAAGCAATTTCCTCCTCCCCCGTCTGTTGTCTCTGGATAGACCTATTCTGCACACTTCCCATGGATGGAATCTACTTATACAAGACCTTTTGAATTTAGTTCTTTTTGTGTAGCATTTTGTTGTTGTGGGGTTTTTTTTTGGGGGGGGGGGTGTTTGAGAAGGGTTTCTCTGTTTAACAGCCCTGGCTGAACTGGAACTCACTTTGTAGACTAGGCTGGCATTGAACTCACAGAGATCTGCCTGCCTCTGCCTCCTGAATACTGAGACTAAAGGCGTGCCACCACCGCCTGGTCATGTAGCATATTTTTAAGGTTTATCAAAGAGGCGCCTATATAAGAATATACTCCATTTTATGCCTTCATCAAATTCCACAAAAGTATATTTATTCTACAATTTGTTTATGCCTTCAGCAGTTTAACATTTGGTGTTTTCCCACCTGTGGACTATCATGAAATAGTGATATGAGGCTGGGAACATGCCTGCCAGCACTTGGGAGGGAGGCAAGAAGATGAGGAATTCCAGCTCTCTTCCTAGGGAGGCTTAAGCCATAATGAGTTACAATAGATCTCAAACGGGAGATAGGGACAAAGAGAAAAAGGGAAGGAAGATATCATGAACATGAATGCAAAAGTATTTGTGTTTAGAGTTTCTTATTTAATTTTTAAAATGACATTTATTTATGGGGACACAGTGCCATAGTGTACATGTGGAGGTCAAAGGACAACTTTCAAGAGTCAGTTATTTCCTTCCACGAGAGGCCAGGAATAGAACTCAGTTGACGTGGTTAGCACCGTGTGTGTGTGTGTGTGTGTGTGTGTGTGTGTGTTTTAAAATGGGTCTTGCTATGAAGCTCTGGCTGGCCCAAAATTCCCTGTGTAGAATAGGGTGGTTGAATCATGCCTGCTCTTCCTTCCTGAGTGTGGCCCAGGAGTGCAGGAATTACATAGGCTTGTGCCTTTATGTTCTTTCTTTTCTATTTCGTTGCAACAAGAGTTGTTATCTGCTCCGTCCAACGACATATTAATACAGTTCACAAATTCTAATTCACTACCTCTAAGGTTCTGATGACTTCACAAAGTAAACTGAAGAGAGAACTGGGAACTAGGATTTAAAAAAAAAAAACTGATGATGACAGAATGACTAAGAAGGTCAAAAAACATTTCTCTGAGAAAGCGAAATTTAAGGTGAGAGAAGAGAATGAGGTGGCAATATAAGCAAAAAACAAGAACATCTCCTAAGAGATGAACACGATCTCATATGCACAAATAGAGGCGTGTTGGAGGTCAATATCCCTGCAGTCGGTATGCAAGGCATAACTGCCACAAACCTTGTATTTCCGCGATTTATTGATGTCTGTAGGGATTTCCATCATTTACATTTTTAATAAAACCACATTAGGACTGAAATTGTGCAATGGGAGTGGACAACATGGTTTATTCTAGTGAGACCAATAAGCAAAGACTTCATCTTCTGACTCTGCTCTGAAACCTCCACAGGAAGGATGCACCAGAACCCAAGTTATGATCGGTTGGCTAAGCATAAACCCACCTCCCTCTTGACGTTCCCAGCGGACTGCTAGAAGCCCCACCTCTTGTTCCTGATTCGCTGTCCAGTGATAGTCCCGCCTCCCCAACGTTTAGATTGGCAGCTTAGCCGCCCTCGCAGTTAGCGCGCTAGGAGAGAAGCTGCTACGGCCGCGACGCAGCAGCGCAGGAGACAATGGCAGGCTCAGCGTTGGCGACTCGGGCTCGGCTCGGTGCCTGGGGCGTGAGGGTCCTACAGACCCGAGGCTTCGGCTCGGACTCGGTAGGTGGCGGCATGACCCACCGCCCATCCTGGGTCGCGGGTCCTCTCTTCCTTGTTGTGCCCTTTGCCATGTCTGCGTCTCTCTCTGCAGTCGGGGAGCACGGAGTCTGGCGCTGGCGCCATCCGAGAAGCCGGTGGGGCCTTCGGAAAGAGAGAGAAGTCCGAAGAGGATCGCTACTTCCGGTGAGGCTCACCTGGTCCCAAGTCCATCCCCGGTCTCCTTCCCCGTCCTTTCTACGCCCTCTGTCTTCCCACCCATCTTTACCTGGTCCCTTGGGGCGCCTATCCTCTGGCAGAATTCCCAGGGCGATGAAACCATTGTCTCAACATGGATGACACATTTAACATCAGTACCACACTAGTGGCTCCCCACCAGCCTTAACCCCGTCTACAGAACTCAGCCCAAGGCTGGTCTCCAAAATGTCTAAGTTGTTATCATCTTCCTGGCCCACGGCCACCCCCTCCATATCCCTGGAGGTGCGAGACTCCCGGGCACTTTGAGCATTGTTTACATCCTGCAGGCTGGAACAAGCAGACCTTCTGATTCTGTTTCACTCGCCTGTCACTCATTTTTTTCCCCTCCCCAACCGCCCCCCCCCCCCCCCCCCTCG